CTGTGGCCACGAGATGGAGCAACTGAATAACAAACGGCCCTGCAGAGCCAGCGGCTTGGGATGATGGGACATTACATCTCAGATCTGGCTCACTCCGAGGCTGCAGGCAGCCCTGGTGGGATGCTGCAATGGCCCGAGGCAGGAGCAAGCTCCAAGAGACTCCTGGCCCACGTCCAAGGTGAAACACAGGGAGAGGCTGGTGCTCCTGGGTGCCACCCAGCAAGGCCTCATAGCAAGATGAAGAAGCTCAGACATGCTCTTAGCCCCCCATGGCGATCCCAAGCAAGCACATTCCTGCAGTAAAAGTTTCCCTGGGAACATCCCAGGACTCCACGCATTGCTCTGTTGTGGCCTCTGTTGCCCAATCTCCTCCCATTTCCTTCTGGCTGGCTTCTGGAACCTCCTCCCCAGCACAGAGCTAGAGCAGCCCTTCAAAACACAGAAAATTCCAGGGACCTGGGGTCACGGAAGGGCAGGGGGGAGGTGAATGTAACTGAAAAGTTGAGAAGACTTGAAATGCATCTGGGGAAAACCAAGGAAGAAAGCAAGAGGATCTCAGCAGTGGATGCTTTCTCTCTTCTCAAGATGAGCAAATCTTTTTCTCACTGGTTAGACTCTGATTTAGATCAAGCCAAAACTGCCGTGTCTCCACTGCACAACCCTGTGTGGTAGCTGCTGAGCTGGAAGAACGTCAGCAGCGCCAGCCCCATTCACACACTTTCTGAGAGCCAGGAGCTTGGCACTGCTGCCTGTGGTGTGGTTTGGTGTCAGGACACAGCAGTGGACCAGCAGTGTCCTGGGATGGCCAGCACAGCCTGGCACTTGCAAGCAGGTTGGCCCCTAGGGCAAGCACAGGAATCAGCAGAGCTTGCCTGGTTGCCACCCAGGGCTGCATGCGTGGCCCAGGAGGGAGGTCTGTGTGGCATTGGTGATAAAGTTCTCAATATTAGCAAAGAAGTGGACGTGGAACAGCTCCTTCATCAGGAGAAGGGAACAGGAGGATGCACTGGGCATTTGAAATCCCGTGAGGAGGGAGATCTGTGTGGCATTGGTGATAAGGTAAAGTTCTCAATACTAGCAAAGAAGTGCACGTGGAACAGCTCCTTCATCAGGAGAAGGGAACAGGAGGATGCACTGGGCATTTGAAATCCCGTGAAGAAGCAGGTGCTTCACACATTGGTGGCATCAGTGGCATGCACAGAGGTGCCAAGGACACTGCAGAGTTTGCAGGGTGTGGCCCTTTTCCCCTGGTGTGAGAAGAGGAACAGAACCCTTGGTCTTGAGGACTTTGTGAAGAGCCACGTTCCATTAGCACAGAGTAGGGCCTGCAGCAAGAGAAGAGAGGTATCCTGGCTGCCCACAGCTTTCTCACTCCTGCATCAGAAGCTAAGCTGTTAATCAGCAGTCAGAAAGTCCTTCATGGACTGTCCCAGACTACCCATTACACTGCTCACTCAGTTTCATTTTCCCCTCTCCATCAGCCCTCTCCATCATCCTTTTTCACCTTTCCAATGCTGAAGGAAGAGGAGCCTTCACACTTTGTCCCACGTGCATTTGTACCCCCTGCATTGTAACTCCCTGGCCATTTCTCCTCAGATCCTTCCCTAAAATACTCACAAGGACGTTTGCTGGAGAAAAAAGCAGACCAGCTGCTGATGGTGGCTAGACTAGGACGTACCAACCCTGGTGTTGCTGCTTCCTCATCCTCCCCTTTCCAGAGCATCTTTCTGCAGACGTTGGAGCTACTGAGGGCTTTGTGCAGCAAGCACACCCAGGGAGACATGTGCCTGGGCAGCTGCTGGCACGGTGGGCAGAGCAGCATCAGAAGATGAGCATCAAAGGCAAAATTAGAGAGAAGAGAAAGCTGCAAGTGCATGAAGGGAAAACCTCGAATGGGGAACAGAGCATCCGCTCCAAGCCTTGGTGGCAGTCTCAGAACTGGCATGGGCAAAGCCTGGGCCAGGGCAGGAGCACAGGGAGCACTCTGTCAGTGGGGCTTACACCCCACTCTCACAGCAGCCACGGGTCCCAGCACCCAGGCTGGCTCAGGCCCCCAGTGCCTCTTCATGGCAGTGGTGACTGACGCTGTTCTGAGGGTTTTTTGTTAATGTCCCAAATGCAGTCATGGTCACAAGACCACCCCCGGGTACACAGAAGTGAAACCATGCTGAGGAATATGATGAGGTATTGTTTACTCAGACCTTCTATCCTATTTTCCCTTTGGTGACTTTTCCTTTTTTCTTTTTTTTTTCTTAAGTAGAGTCATTTCAGCTAGAATAGGAAACTATATTCAACTAAAAGGAAAGCTCAAGTACTATTTCTTCTCTCCTCTCCTATCCCCATCTCTTTCACAGATGCACAGTTTGAGTTCAACCAATATAATTCTCAGGTCTGATATTTAAAGCTCTGGCCTTTCTTTCCCCCTTTGGTAAGAAAGCTGCAAACACGGAAACAATGGAGGGGAAAAAAAAAAAGAAACAACCACACAACCTTTTTTTCCCCTTCTCCCCCCAGTCAAAATCAGCACCTGACACTCTCCATCAGTACATTCCCTGTTCCCTGGGAATACAGGCAGATTTAAGAGTAATCCTTGGGTTTTTTTAAAAAAATACCAACTTAAAGTGAACATAACCACTCAGATAACTACTGAAAATGAGTGGTCTCTTATTCTTTTTTCAATATCATGAAAAGCAAGGGAAACAATGTCAGTGCTAGCTGAGGATTTAGCTTAAAGCACGTTTTGGCAGCTAGCGCTCTCCCCACAGATGTTACATACACTCAATAAAATCATGTCTGGTAGAAAAACAAAAATCAGAGAAAGGTCTGTAGGGACAGAATTTCCTTCTCTGTTGGGAGGGACTGTTTTGTATGGGTGACTCAGAGACGCCAGCCCCACAAAGCCATGTGTTTACATCCTTAAGTCAGCTCTGTGTGACATGCTATGTACATAGTGTGTGTGTGCAGGCACAGCGTGGGGACACCCAGGCTGTAATGGAAATAGGTGATGAAACGAGAAGTAGCAGCACTTCATCCTTCCTGACAACCTGAGCAGCAGCTACTTTGCATGCAGCTCACTCCACCACCTCGAAAGAAAACACAAGGATTTACAAGCTGAGAAGGAGAAAAAGTCAACAACCAGAGCCAGCCCAAAGGTAAGAAAGCAAGAGACTATTTCTTTGTAGTGAAACCTTGCTTTGAAAGCTTTCTTCTTGCTACAAGATCTGAAAACTAAGAATATTTTACATAACTTTTTTGCTTGTAGCATATAGACTTTTTTTTTCCCCAAGAAAGTACAGAGCTAACCGTTCCATTCGTGCTTAAAATATTTTTTTTCCTGTTTTGTTTATAAATCTATACAACAGATTCCAGTCTAAAATGCCTTTTTATCATAACTAGATTTTTCTCAGGTCAAAAGCTTAGTAAGAAACTGAAATTTTATTTCTCTAGACCTAGAATTTCCTAGACACGCTATCAAACAAAAAAAGGACTGAAGGAAAAAGGAAAGACTACTGAAATCTCTTACAGAAGCAAGGAAGCAAAGAACTTTGTCCATATTTATTTCTTTTCAGTAATGTCTTCATTAACTTTTCATCCCTTTGGGTCTCAGTAATGGATTCCCTCCATTAGACTCACAGTGCTTCAGTCAGTGAAGCAGCATCTTGGGTTGCCAGCTTAGGCCACCATCGTGTACCAGCCAGGTCATCAGTGTAATCCCCCCTGTCTGTCACTGGCCACCTGAATTTGGAGATTCAGAGTCCCAAAGGGTCTCTTTCAAACCACAGCACAGGAAGTTTACCACTGAAATACTCAGGGACGAACTTGATCTGCACAACAGAAACTTCCACTGCACAATTGACAACCAGTTGACAAATATGAAATGAAACAACATCGAGATCAGTAACTCATGTAGGAGAGACACTGGGTTGTAATAATAACAATTAGAGAACATCCAAAAAAAAAAAAAAGGTAATTTCTGGGCGCTGCCAGATCTCTGAAAAGCTTTATTTACAGATTGCATTTGCAGTGCTGGAGCTGGCTGGAAGAAAGACCCAGGTATTGCTGTGGATTTGCATTTGTAAGCGATTCCGGCTGAGATCAGCACTGCAGAAACCGACTGGAGCCTTCCCCTTCCTTATCAGGAGGGTCTGAGGGCAGGATCAAACCAGCACCCTTCCCCTAAGGAGGCAAGTTACTGCACGACCCCTGCTCAGAGGGTGCCTGCCTCGACAGTTTTAGTCCCCTCTTTGTGGAGGAGAAACCAGCTGCATGTTTTCTGCAACCCCTACCTCTGCAAATCCAGATTCATCTGCTGTGGTAAGTCTGACTGGCTTAGATATGGGCTTGGGCTCTTAAATCTTCTTCTTCTAACCTCTGCAAGAAACAGCCTGTTTGAAAATTCATGCCTGCTGCTTAGAGCAAGCTTGTCAGAAGGGCCAGAGGCAGTCACAGATCTTTGCTCAGTGGTAGTGGGAGAGGGTACAGGATGGCAAGGACTGTCTGGGATTGTCACATTAATAAACGTGGGGCACCCTCATGCTCTTGGCTCCCCAAGGTCTCTTACAATAGCTTGATGCAGGAATCCTGATCTAACTAATTGCCTCTACCCCCAAAATCCAAGTAACCCTAAAATCAGGGGCTGCTACCCTGACTCTGCAAAGAGATCACCTCCCTCCAGGCTGGTGCAGTCACATCTACACTCTGCCCAGCTTAAATTAAAGGGCAACACAGTCTGGGGTAGCGGGTAACAGTGCTAGTGAGGCTTGGACCCTAGAAAGCCTTGCTCCTTCTTGAGGCACAGCCTTGCCCTAAGGTCCCTTGGCACTGAGCAGTCCATGTTACTGGGAGCTGCAATTCAGCACACAGCAGCCCAAAACAAAAAAGCATCTCTAGGTCTGCAGACACACAGAGATCTCACTGGCCTTTGGACCCTGTCTGAAATGTAATCTTCATCCTTCCGTGTGGTGAAGGTGATTTTCTTCTCTTCCAGAATATCTGGAGATATGAATAACACCCGTGCCAAGGGCAATGTCAGCAATATCAGTGCTACTGTGGAACTGTTCCAGCTCATCATGTACACCCCCACGTTCACCCTGGGATTGCTGTTCAATGTGATGGCTCTGTCGTTCCTCTTCTTTAAGGTTAAAAAGCTGTCGGAATCTACAGTCTACATGATAGCCCTTATTTTCCTGGATACTTTGCTGCTGTTCACTCTTCCTTTTAAAATCCTTTCCTACCACCTTCAGGATAACTGGAACTTGGGGTCTGTGTTTTGCTCCACCTTGGAGAGCCTTTATTTTGTGAACATGTACGGCAGCATCCTCATCTCCCTCTGCATCTGCGTGGACCGGTACATCGCCATCCGGCACCCTTTCACAGCTCCCACCCTGCGCTCCACCAAGAAAGCTGCCATGGTCTGTGCTGTCATCTGCCTGGGCACCTCGGCTGGCACAGTCTCTACCTTCCAACTACATGGAGAGGGCAACAACATCTCATCCTGCTTCCATAACTTCTCCAAGAGCACGTGGGAAAACACGGGCCTGTTCAGCGCCTTGGTGACCACCTTCTTCGGCAGCATGGCAGTCATGACCTTCTGCACTGCCCAGACCGTCCGGTGCCTGAGGAAGCACAGAAAACCAGGCAGCCCCCCAGCACACCCCACCAGGGCAGAGAAGGTAGTGGTGGCAAACCTTGTTGCCTTTTTGGTCTGCTTCACGCCTTACCACGTGGCCTTCCTGATGTACTTTTTGGTGAGGAATAACATCATCCACGGGAGTTTTCAGCAAGGGCTACGAGACATCCTTCAGGTCACCCTTTGCTGGGCAAACCTGAACTGCTGCCTGGATGGGGTGTGTTATTATTTTGTTTTAAAGGAGTCCTTGGATGACCCATCACGAAACAGTGAAAAAACAGCCATGGGAAAGCCTTGATCCACGTGCTGCAAGAGTTACCTGGGATGATGCACAGAGAGGCTTTTGGGGGAAGTACATGGTTGTGAACTACTTATCTAAGCAATTTGTTTTAAATATTTGTATCTGAAAATATTTCACAAAAAAACCAGAACCAAGTCCATTCCAAGGAGACTACTCCTAATCTTTTTATTTCCTTCCATAACTTTTTGTGCATTTATGAGTAAAAAGAAGTGGAATTATTCCTATAAATGGTGATGCATCTCTCTTTGGACACGATTCCTCTTTCCTTTGAAAACAAAAATAATAAATTGCTCACTTATATGTGGTAGCATCTTTCAGCCTCCCTGTCTACACCACACCTGCAAACCTTCCTCAGGACTTCAGTCACTACAGACTTGGGCTGCTGAGAAACAGAGATTATGGCAAAAAGCCTGAGACTAAATTCTGTTGCCCACCCTGCCCTGGTTGTGCATGTTTGTGCTCACATACGTGCACACCTTCAGGTTTAGATTTGCAAGTGACATTTAAAAAAAAAAACAAATAAAATTACTGTGACTAAACCCAAAGGCAGCTTTAGGTTAACATGGATATAGCAGGATCTCCACATCACTCCTCCACTGGCTGACTTGCTCTGCAAGGTGTGGTGCTTGTTTTAGTCACAGGTCCTGTGCCTACAACATCACACTTCCAACTAATGTTGCCACAAGCCCTGGACAGCTCAGATTAATTTACCATCCCAGTTCCAGGCTTCCTCCCCAGCTCCTCTCCTGCTCACAGGCTTTTCACATATCTATTCCTTCCTGCTTGGTTACAGACTTAGTTTCATGAACAGAGCCAAACCAAATAAGAGCACAAAATAAAAAGCCCAAGTCCAACGTAGTGGCAAACACATGAATCTGAAGTAACAATCCCTACCTCATGGGGGGATAAGATAAGAACAGCTCTGATCCCTAAATCAGCAACCACAACACAGGATCCCAGGGGGAACGCAACCTTTCGGACCTCAGCGCAAGCTGAGCACCCCCACTTCCCAAACAAACAAGGCAATAAAAGCCAATCCACCAGCAGAGGCTAACATGCCAGCCAGTCACTCCTTATCAGTGCTCACAGGCATCCAGAGGGATGGAATGACAGCTTGCATCCAGCCTGGGGAGAGCTGCTCATGGGGACCCCCAGCGCTGCCTCTGCCACCACCCCACAGCTGCTGCATCACTGTGTGAGGCTGTGCCCAGCCAGCCCCGTTGCTGAGGAGGGGAACACTGACTCAACACAGACACAGGCACATGCTGAGGTTTGGGTCTTTGGGGGCTCAGCAATGAGTGCTGCTTCTGAGGATACAAGAGCTGTGCACTAGCACTAACCATGTCCTGGTTAGTCCTCAACCCAACAGGACATTCCAGCAAGAACTCTCTCTCCATATCAGTCGCCATTTCCATTGATTTCCTCAGTAAATCCAGAAGATCTGACAAGCTTCCTTGCCAGTAGATACTGAATCCTCCTCTCCTTGCTCATAACTCACCTCTTAACTGTGCTTCAATAGACACAAAGGTTTTACCACTGAGACTTCAGTGCTCCATTTGGGAAGCAAAGTTAACAAGTACTAGAAGAAAATAGTGCTGATACAGAAGATTTATTTTACATCTCAAAGCAGTAGCTCACGCCAAGAAGGTCTCCACTTTAACTGATAATGCCTGAACATAAGGAATGGGGATTTTGTCGTTACCTCAGGAGGCAGAAAATGCCAAAGGATATGAGAAAACTGATCTCAATTGCTTTTCTGTAGCCTGAGGCAGCTCCATTAGTTTTACTGACACGACTTGGGCTTACACTGCTGCAGTCGAGGCTAGAAGCTCAACTGGAGTTTTACACCTCCTCTGTTGATCAGCTTTCTTTTCATTTTTAAGTATGCCTGTTCTTACTTGTTTGTAACCCTGTTGTCCTTGGTCCCACAGATCATAATTTGTGCTGCAACTTCATTTGACAGCAGTGAAATTAGTATTAAATTTAGGATTTTTTGGCTTCTTGGCTACCTACCTCAGCAATAACCTACTGCTTAGAATAGACAGGGTTATTGACCAAAGAAAACACAGTTAAATCTGTACAAAGAGCAAGTTAAAAGTGCTCAAGGTATTTCTTCTTCTTCTCCAGTGTTTCTGGCTGTTGATTTTTCTAGAACCAAGCAGGCTGAGGTGTGGAAAATCTGGTACCTGCCCATGGACAGGGTACAATCTGAGCTCCCTACCTCTACATGTGGCTCACAGTGCCCCTGCCAGCTCTAAGAGAGCACTAGTTATCAGGGCAAGGTGACAACTTACTTCCTAGATTTCTGGGGGAAATGGTAATTTGGCAAAGGCAGCATTTTCTACTCAAAATTTCTCTGCTGGATCTTATTGCTTCCAGTTCTCTGAACATACAGTTCTAAGTTAAAAATTGTTAGTTTTTTCCAACACAATGAGGATGGGGGCTAGAGGAGTGTTATGGAGCACTTTTTTTCACTTGTGTTTGAGAGGTCTTTCACAAAATGTACCCTGAGGCTGCTGGATTTCTTGCCAAGAGACTTGTCTTGCAGACATGCCTATATTCCATTCACTTAAGTAACTTTCCTACTCACATTTTTGCAGGTTTCACCAAACATTTGGCGTGTGTTTCATCAGCTTTGATAGTTCACACTTAAGCCAAATCTCCAATTTCCTGCAGCCTCACTCACCTGGGAAAGAGCGAACCTCAAACTTCGGCATCACTAACTCTGCACATCTGTCCTTTGCTTTCTAAATTTCTTTTCTTCTAGCACAGCTACTATCATGCATTTCAGGCTCAGGAATTATCTGCTTGTATTGGGAAAGAAAAAGGTTTATAAGAAAACTTCACTGATGATATTTAACCATATTATGATATTTAACCCAACCAAAACATTTCTCTCCCAAGAAGACTCAGCACAGCTACCAGGCATGCAGTATCTCCTACAGATTTCACTGTTGCCTTTTATTTCTTCTGAAAGTTGACCACATACAAATGGAACAAAAGGGAACAAAATATTTACAACATATTTACCAAATTTTTACCATTTTTGTGAAGGAAAAAAAAAGTTGCTGTGGGATACTGACACAACCAGAAATCTATGAGGAATCAGAAATATTTCCCAGGAGGAACAGCTGAATCAGTGCCCTTTGCAGACACCAAAGGATGTAACACCTCACGTCTGCTGTATGCTACAGATTCCTGTTAATCCTTCTCTCTATTCCAAGACAAAAAAGGCATTAAACTAGGATTATATTTGGGAGCAAGTATCAGCAGTTTAGAGTTATAAACACCGTCAGGCAATTGTTAATCCAAAACTAAGCATTACAAACCCAGGAAATCCAGTTTAGATTACACTTCAGAGTACATCAACACAATCCCAACCATTCCCTGCTAAGTATTAACGTTGTGACTACAAGTAAAGCCACCTCCCAGAGACCAGCATCTAACGTGGTCCCACTCTGCCAACTGTAGTATCTGAGACAATGAAGGACACTGTTTGAAATAGCTCTACTCAGTTTAAAGAGGAGCTTAGGAAAGCACGAGAAGTTGCAGTCAGCAGAGACCAGTCTGACTTCATTCATGCCAATGGGAAGTGCAGTGGCTTGAAAACATTGCAGCTGGAAGGGGCAGAAATAAAGGGATGGGGCTTTTGACAAAGTGAGGTTGGTGTGGCTCTAAAAGCCCTGCAGATAGATTTGTTTCCCTCATGCAGAGTAAGACAACTTGGTATTAATAATAAATGTTTAGGCAGATGATTGTATATGAGGAATGAGAAGATAAAAGAAAGCCTGAGCTATAAAATGCTCTTCATCTCACCCTGGGCTCAGGCTCTCACTGCTGCTCCTGCCTGTGGCTGTGCAGGGACCTGTTGGGACCTCGACACAGGACCTTGCTGGGAAATGAGGGGTCTTTGCTCCAACCTGACATACCCTGGGGTATCCCACCCAGCCTCCAATGCTGAATCAAATGGGGAAGGGCTATTCTGGGACCCAAAATGCAGAGGGATGCCCATATACACCTACCACAAAACAGCTCTAAAAGACATCCCAAATCTTTCTCCCACTTTTCAGCTACTAAAAATCTGATTCTGTGGGCAAATAAACTCGTTCTAACTTCTAGTCTATCACATTGTCTAACTTGCACCCCAGGACAGACAGACTCTCATCCTGAAAACTATTTTGTTTTTAGCAGATGAAGTGTTTGTTTCTCCAGAACTTGGCTACATATGTAAGAAAATAGGAATCTTACTTCCAATATCCTTCCCAGTCACATTAGGTTTCCAACCCAGCTCCCACCTCGTGTTTACATGTCCTTTCAACACATATGTAAATAGAACCAGATAGGGCACAATTTCTCCCAACAAAGTTTTGGCAAAACTGTTCATGGTACAAATTACTATTTCCTGGGATAAATACAAAACATCAAAGCAGCAAGGCTTGAAGGTCATCCTGGGGAGAAGAGAAGAAGGAAACACTTTGCTGGTCAGATCGAGGAGACCTGGAAATGCCTTGTGACGTTTTGAGCATTAATGAAGACAACAGCAGGTACCATTAGGGAAGTTTCCCAAATCCAAAAGCACAAAGAAGTGGCACTACAAGCCTATGGAAGGTGACAAACTGACTGTGGAAGAGAGCTGTGGCCCACAGGAGCAAAGGGAGGGCTGATCAGGCACCCAAAGGTCCAGAATTCACAGCCTCTGGGGAAAAAGTGGGGTTTCAAACATGGCCAGAAACAGCACATGCAAAATTCAGTTCTTAAACAGCTACCTTTGTCCCTTAGAGGAGTCTGGGGAAACATCTCTGTTAGAAAAGTGGCTCACTGGTAGAACTTGCATTTTTGGCATTGCTGCACCCCACTCTCATTACAACCACGTTCACTCAACTTCTGCTGCATACTTAATCCACCTGACGTTAGAAACCCTTTCCTATATCACAATCAGTTGCTGTGGGAATGAGCCCAGTGTCCCTGAGGATTAGAGTCTGAAGGGTCTGATTTAA